TATTATATTATTATTATTATTATTATTATTATTATTATATGAAAAGTGCAATTTATGGATCAAATGAAATAATACCTAATTTCGAACTGTGCCTACGTAGAAAGTATTTTCGAAGCATCAGGATCAATTTTCAACGACGAGAATTGAAAAAGATTGAAAAACTTCCAAGGCGTATCCTAATTAGAATACCTTACACAATAAACGGGATTAAGGGAAGATTGAAAAAGAATGGTGGACCAAATTGAAAGAATATACAGTACAGCTTCTGGAAAATTAGCGAACAAGTTTCGTGATTTAAATTCCGATCAAGATGGATTAAAATGTCGAAAGATCGCAAACATGGCGGTTCGTGATTTGTGTTGCAGTGAACGGTAAATATTTGAAACAATTAAATACGAGTGGAAGATATTAATTAATATAGCCAATCTCTGAGATTAAAAAAATAAATGCTGAATGAATAAAATACTAAATAAAATTTTTAAAATGATTGAAGTTACGTTCAAATCTAATCATAGTCTAAAAAATACAATTAAAAACAGTAATTAAATAAATTTCCAAATTAGTGTAATATTTTTGCAAGGATAATTAAATTACAATGACGAATGTTATTTTATCTTCACAATTTATTCATGGAATGTTAGATAAACGATGATATAATATAAAAATATAATAAATATAAAGTTCGAAGAGCATGAAACTAGGAAAAAATATAGTTTTCGAAGAATTTATTTGTTTGATAACAAAATTGTCCGAATTTTATATTTTGTTAAAAAAAATTTTGAAATTTACTATCCATTAGCTAGATAACAAATTATTTATGATATTGATAATGTAAAAACCTTTAGAAAGAAACGAAAATTTGAATATATTAAAAAGGGTCGAAGCTGCAGAAAGCATAATTAAATGGAAATTAAATTACCATTTATAGCGAATTAGTAAATTATTACTCGAAAATGGGATGAAGGAATACAAAATTTCTGAATACAATTCGTGTCAAATTATAGGAGAAGTGAAAGAAAATAATTTAAAATACTTTTTCGCTTTCTCGTTATTATTAAATTTTGAAACAGTAATAAAAAATATTCAAATTCGATGAAATTACTCAAATAATCTTTGAAAAAATTTATTCGCATATACTATGATAAAGGAATATATTAAAGTATCGATGCAAAAATTGATGGAAAAATTGTGGCCCGATTTGAGTTCTTGAGAAAAAATATTCCTCTTATTAGAAAATAAAATTCGCACTTGGACTTTCGAGAGTTTGGAACGTTCCGAAAACTTACGAAATTTCGTATTCAAGTTCCAAAAGTTTCGAGAGCTTGGAAGCCTTACAAAGCTTCGTATTCAAGTTTCGAGAATTTCAAAATTACCTTCTAACCAACCTTTAATTACCACCAAAGATACCCAACTTACTTTTGCAGCAGCCTATTCCTTTACCCGTTATGCTCTAACTGAACTTCCAACCCGCAACTTTAGCACTAGGATTATCCTAGTTAAGACACTAGAACTAACCTGTGATATATGGTATAGTATACACTGATAATATAATATTGGCCCTGTGCAGTTAAATTTTGCCATATACGTGTAATATTTTCACTTATTAGGACAAATGCAATATGCAACAAAAAATAACATTACTAAAAATTTATATATTTATTTATATATTTCATATAATATAAAAATTTCCAATAGTTCGTTACTTCCAATAGTTTACTATATTTTCTACCAAATTTACTATACCGACTATCAAAACTGTTGAAGCTAGTAAGAGAAAGATTATTTAAATAATAATCAATATGTATGCAGTAAAACCAGGAAACTAAATAATTACTAAATTATATCAATAACTATAATTATAAAAAATAATTATAGTAAGCAATTAAATAAGTATAAAATTATATACAGGATGTTCCAGTTGAAAAGTTTCAGAGACTAAAGTATTGTAGGTGAATGAATTCATCTTGAAATAAGCTATCCGTTTAGATAAAAAAGAATATAAGGTTTCATTAAAAAAAGCAAAGTCACCTTGAAATCTCGGAAGCACGTTCACCTGGAAAAAATTTATGACTATCATAAAATACCTCCCTTAAAATAGAGCAAGTTTCATCTGAAATATTTTTTGAAACGAATTATAGTTCAGGAAGTAATTGAATCCGACATTTCAAATCGGACACCCTGTATATAATTTTATAATCATTTAATTGTTTATCATAATTATTATGGCAGCTAAAGTGCGGCTAGATAATAGACGATATATAATACATAATTACATATAATATGTTACATCCTTATTGCAGCAAAGCTTTCTAAAAAATTTCCCAAATTCGATCCGAGAAATCGAAAATCGCTCATTTCGACTTCCTCCATAACCTCACTGTTCAAATCGCTACGTCGTGGCGGAAGAAACAGAGGGAATCATCTTTATGCAAACACAAAAAATTTTCAAATTTTAAACAGCAATATTGGATCCATTATTAAGATTTCAAAAATTTTGACATTAGATTTGGAATTAGCGACCCAAAAAATGGGATATAACCATCGTTTATACAAATCCCTCATTCCCAGAATTGATTTTCGACTTTAATCCACCATATTGGATTTGATAACTCGAATTTTAAAGTTTTGACCCTAGATTCGGAATCAGTAACTCCGAAAACAGAACATAACCAAAATTTATAAAAATCCCCGTACTTTTTAATTTTTGGCCAGTTTCAGTAGCTTCGTGGTTCATTGTGCGCCGTCGCAGTAAGAGGATGCTCGCGATCGCAGTGATCCCTAGCGTCAACCGCGGCAGAAGGGGGCCCAACACGTGTCGCTGGCGCGGAACGCTAGTTACACGGGCCAGTCGGTCGGTTAACCTCTCCCGCTGCAGTACCTTTCAAGAGTCCTCGTGCATCGTGGCGCGCGAGTCGCGCGGTCCCCGGTTAGTCGGAACATGATCCTCAGGCGCCTCGCTGGCCGCTTTCTGCAACTGGCCTTACTCTCGAACCTCGCGTTCTCGTCGACGGTGGCGCGTTGGAGTGTCGCGTGGTGGTTGTCGCCCTGTGTTTGCACACTGATCGTGTTCCCATCGAGCAGCCAGCAATGGTCCTTGCTGGGCTTGAGCCTCTGGCCGAGCCAGGCCGCTGTGAAGCCGTTGGATGGATTCGATTTGAGCGGAAATTCAATCTCCAGGGGTAAGTTCCCGGAGTGGCGTTCCGTGTTTCTTTGTCGTTGCGACGTAACTCCACGTCCTGTGTTTGCCCCAGGATTTCTCTTGCCTCTAATCTCACGCGCATGCGGAAGCGTCTTGCCTTCAGGCGGGGCTGTCAATGAGTAAAGTCTTAGGCTGTCTGAGGAAAGAGTTTTCGGAAAGACTTTGTGGGTTTAATTGGGGAAGAGGGGTGGGTTGAAAGGGGAATTTTTTAATTTTTGTAACTTCTTTTATTTAATATTATTGTTATTTTTTTAAATATATTTTTATCGGTTTTATTAATTTTTGAGATTGTGGGAAATTCGAGGTTATGTTGTTTTAATGTCGAACCTATCATGATTTAGATAAAAATTTCGTATTTAGTGATGTGGCTTTGGTCACTTGTATGTGTGTAATCAATTCTTCGATATTTTCCTTAGTCTGTTTGCTTTGGGGCTCTGCTTTCGTTCCTTCATTCACCGGTTATTTGACCAGTTGTGGTAGATTCAGTGTAAACTCACCATTATGTAACTGTATAATTACTTCATAAATAATTTTTTCATTCCATTTAAGGTAAAAATATATCACTGAACGAAAAAATTAAAATTATTACAACTATTAATGATCACTATAATTAATAAGAGGAATATCGATAGAATAAATAAAATTTAATTCAATTTTTTAATTAAATTAAATGTAATTAGTTATTCAAAAATTTCCGGACTTTTATGCTTGGCTTTCAATCAATTAAGAAAGGGTTTTGCAATTTTACAATTACGGTATTTTTTCTTTCTCTTCTTCCTTTTTTTTAAAATTTTATTTTACGTTATGTTTTCTATGACATCATGAGAAGATTTCAAAACAAAAATTTTATTGAAATTGTATGATCACCATCTTTTTCTTCTTTTCTTTTTGTTATGTTATTCTGAATAGTGTTTTTTATAGTATTTTGTGAAATTCTTAAAACTTTAAAAATTTGATGTGTCGATATCCTTTTGCATTAGAAATATTTTATTGAAATTGTATGATCACCATCTTTTTCTTCTTTTCTTCTTGTCATTTTATTTTACATCGTGTTTTCTGTAGTATCTTGTGAAATTCTTGAAACTCTTAAAATCACCGTCTCTTTCTTCTTTTCTTCCTGTTATGTTACTCTGTATAGTATTTTCTATAGTATTTTGTGAAATTCTTGAAACTTTAAAAATTTGATGTGTTGATATCCTTTTGCATTAGAAATATTTTATTGAAATTATATGATCACCATCCCTCTTTTCTTTTCTTCTTGTTACGTTACTCTATATAGTGTTTTCTGTAGTATCTTGTGAAATTCTTGAAAATCTTAAAACTTGCTTTGTCGATATCCTTTTGCATAAGAAATATTTTATTGAAATTGTATGATCACCATCTTCTTCTTCTCTTTTTCTTGTTACGTTACTCTGTATAACGTGCTCTTGGGAAGATCATGGGAAGATCTCGACACTCCTGAAATTCGAGGTGTTAATCCTGTTTCGTCATAGGGATATTTCATGTCCACGATCTTCTTCTTTTTCTTTTCATTTTATTTCACATGGTGTTTCCTGCGCTCTCTTGGAGAGATCTCGAAACTCTTGGAGCTTGATCCTGTTTCGCGGGAGAAATATTTTATTTGAAGAATTGGACGTGCAATTTTACGCCCACGATCTTTATTTTCTTCTTTTCGCCGTGTTCCACATAATTTTTTCCGTGGTATCTTGATTAGTTCTCGAACCTCTTGAAACTTGCATTGCCGATCTCGTTCGATAAGAGAGGAATATTTTATTTCAAGAACTGAACCTGAAATGTTACGATCGTGACCTTCTTCTTCTTTTTTATTTCATTTTACGCTGCATTTTCGGTGGTACCTCGAATACTTTCCAAACTCGATGTGTCCCTATTTTGTTACATAAGAGAATATTTTGTTGTGAGACCTGGACCTGTTCTCGTTCGATCGTGATCTCTTTCTTATTTCTTCTCTTTTATTTTGTCTTGTACCGTGTTTCCTGCGGTACCCCGAGACACTCTCGAAACTTTTGCGACTCGAGTCGCTAATCTTGTTTCGTAAGAGGAATATTTTATTTCAAACGAAGTACTTACACTTCTACAATTACGATCTTCCTCTCCTTTTCCGTTTTATTTCGCGTTATTTCACGTCGTATCTTTCCCTGTACCATAAAAATCTCGAAACTCGAGATTCTGATCTTGTTTCGCAAGAGGAATATTTTGATCCCAAAATAGATGGTATACTTCTACAGTTACGACTGTTTTCCTCTTCTGTTCTTAATAATAATTTCATTCTGTGTGAAATGTTTTACGTTAACCTGGAGTATAATGTCCTACGTATTAGATCCATGTTTCATTTGATATATAGTTGATTTACGAAGTAGGTAATGAATTTCTAAATGTAACACAGGAAAACGTTTCAGAAGTTTGCGTACTGATCATGTAGCAATTGAAAATAAGGTGATAGTAATTGATTTAGATTGAATACAAAAATGTCTTTCCTGTTTTATTTGGAATAAATAATTTTTGGGTCAGCAATTTGCTTAGATCATTAAAAATATAAATAACCTTATATAAGTAGTTTATGTGATCTAAAATCTCTAAATAAAAAAAATAAAAAAGAAAGAAGACGATTGCCAAGCATTTTCAAAAAATCTCCTACCGAATATTCTAAATTTTCAGTCGATTTTATATTTTTTAAATCTTATTTTTCTAATTTTAATCGAATTAAAAAAGTTTTTTAATTTTATTCGCAAGAATTTTGAATAATGAAAAGATTGGAAACATTTGAATTCTTGAAACTCGAAACTTTCTTGGGATTCGAGGGATTTCAAGATCTCGACGTTTCGAGAAATCCAACTATGATTTAAAATCCCTAATTTAAAAAAAAAAAAAAGAAAGATGACGATTGCCAAGTATTTTCAAAAAATCTCCTACCGAATATTCTAAATTTTCAGTCGATTTTATATTTTTTAAATCTTATTTTTCTAATTTTAATCGAATTAAAAAAGTTTTTTAATTTTATTCGCAAGAATTTTGAATAATGAAAAGATTGGAAACATTTGAATTCTTGAAACTCGAAACTTTCTTGGGATTCGAGGGATTTCAAGATCTCGACGTTTCGAGAAATCCAACTATGATTTAAAATCCCTAATTTAAAAAAAAAAAAAAGAAAGATGACGATTGCCAAGTATTTTCAAAAAATCTCCTACCGAATATTCTAAATTTTCAGTCGATTTTATATTTTTTAAATCTTATTTCTCTGATTTTAATTGAATTAAAAAAGTTTTCTTAATTTTACTCAAGGGATTTTAAATAATGAAAAACTTGGAAAATTTTGGATTCTTGAAACTCAAAACTTTCTTGGGATTCGAGGGATTCCAAGGTCTTGACGTTTCGAGAAATCCAGCTTTAGTTTCGAGTGGACAGTTTGGTCGTGGAACTGAAGGTAAATAGGATGATTTTTCTTCCGGATGTGAGAGTTTGTTTTATCTGTTTTATCTGGCGGAATTGCATTTTGGCAGGGTTAGATCGTGGGAAGTTTGGAAACAGTTGCTCGTCCTGTTTGATTTGGATCTGGTTTTCTGACCTGAAGGTTGTTCTATCGCGGTTTCGAGCAACTGGTATAGTACATATTATTCATTGCAATTTTTCCAATTAAATAAATATAAATTGTAACATAACAATGAAATAAAATAGTCGAATAACAAAAGTATGAAATAATTTTTTAAATAAATTTATAAACAGATGGGTCTGCGTGGATTTAATGTATACAATGTGTCTTATAATGTACAGTATTACTTTATCAAAATTATTTTACAAAAATAAGTCAAAATTTCGGAAGCTTCATCTATTCACCTTATTATTTCTATCTGCCATAAAACAAAAATAATTTCTTCGTAGATAGGAACGTAAAAGATATATCGATAGCAAAGAAATTTTTGAAAATGATTATTTCAAGGTATATTTTATATAAAAATTTAATGGGCTTTTTAGCAGGAATTCATTAACAATTATTCTGAGACTTTTTACGTAAAAATATCACTTGTATTAATTTTTATTATAAATATCTCACGGTTGACAAACGTTTGAAAGGAAAAAAATGTAAAAAAATTAAAATTTCTGTGTACATAGTGATAGTATAAAACGTGAAGATGAAAGAAATTCAAATTCAAAATTTATACCTAGATTGATCAATTTCCTATACTTTGTTCTCTTTATAATTACTTATCGATCGTCTGTAAATTATTATAATTACAGTCTAAACGTATGCATGAAACATTATTATTAAACCAGCATTCATCTACTTCGCTATTTACGTGCAGCTTAAATACGTGCAAAGATAATGCGTTTATTGGTCGTCTCAAAATTAATTTAATAGCGATTAAAATACATGTATGCAATGTTATTATTATTCAAATCAGTTGCATAATATCTACAAGTGATTTTAAAATTCGTAGGAGTAAATTATTAATCAACTGCTTGTGATTATTATAATTATGCTTACAATACCCATGATTAATATGCACGAACAGATCAATATTTTTCGAAATTTAAAATAATTTCTCATGTAACACGTAAATTAGAATATTCTCTTGTTTTTCAGTTATTATAATTTATATACAATACCCAAGTACTTAACGTAAAATGTTGCATGATCTGACAAAAGCAAATTATGGAATAATTAAAAGAAATAAATCTTTTATGTATACTCTTGAAAACAAATGAAATAGAAAAGAATGAAACAAAGCAGAGATTCCGAAAGACAAAAGAGAAAGCAAACGAAGAAAGGAGAAGAGGAAGGCAAAGAAAGAAAAGAAAATTTGAAAGGAATGAGAAAAGAAAGAAAAATCGATAAAAGGAAAACAAAAGAGAAAAAAATAAAGATTAAAAGAAGACAGCAATAGATAACAAAATCAACATTAAAAAAAGAAAATAACAATAATAGAAAAAGGAAATAGCAAACGGAAAAGAAAATGAAAATCGGGAAAGAGAGAAATAAATAATACATAAAAAAATAAAAATCGGAAAAAAAGACTTGGGAAAGATGGAAGAAAAATCAAAAAAAAATCGCAATGTTCAAAAATCTCAAAGTCTGACTAAAAATAAAAAATACCATTTTCCATCAATTAACTTATTCCACTTAACTTCTTTGCCCGAACTCAAGATATCGACGAATCGCTTATTTCTCTCTAAAATCTAAACGTGTTAATAAACGTAAAGCATATATCTGATGGATGCTCCAATTCACAAAATGGTTACCGAAATTCCTCTGAACGCAGTCCGCAAAGCGTTTAATTACCAATCGCTAAGTAAGAGTGATTCAATAATCCTTCCATCGAGGAGAAATCAAAAACCGACGAACTAATTGCCTCGGTAATTGCGTGTTCATTACCGCGCATCCATTGCTCCAAACAAAATGCAATTCTACTCTAGTGTCAAGCGACGCGATCCACGCGCACGCGCGGTGCTTCTGTAACGTTGATTACAATATTCATGAATTACAAGGGCGCCGCCCAGAGGCACTTCCCTTTCCCATTAAACGTTCACCATACGCAATCTATAACACGAATTCAAACTCGAATTTAAACTCTACGATTTACGGTCGAAAGGTACAATCCGAAAATAAACTGCATAACCTCCCTATACGTATTACGCTTTTGCTGTCCTGCAGAGACATCTATGGAGCAGTGCCGGATTCATCAGAGGGGATCTTCCCCAAGAGAGTAGTACGAAGGAAAATCATGTCTTATTATTTTTAATTTTTAAAGTATTTTTTGTAACGTCACATTTTTTTTTGTTATTTTAGTGACTTAAATAATTAACGCAAGTTTAATTATTTCAGTTATTAGGTGAAAATGGAAGATAAAATTATTGGATAAGGATTAACTCTTGCAGAATTTTTAAATTCGGTTGTTTTTCGTTTTTCACTTTATATGATACCAAAAATAATGTATTTAAATAAAGTATTCGAATTCAGTTCTAATTTACAATGTTTGGAGATATTACTCGAATTTCTTCAGGTTTTCCAAAGAAACATTGTTACTTACTCAAAAATTTCTGCAGTCGGTGTGAAAACGTGGAGATTAAGAAATATTTACTTTTTACTTTTTACTTAATATTTACTCAGTATTCATATTTTTACAAACGAGGAGAGTAAAAAATATTTACAGGATTAATAATGATAAGGAAAATTAATAACAACAATGTAATAAAAATTAACAATGAAATAACAATGAACCCAAAAAAAAAGAATAATAACATGCTATATAATAATGATGCAAAAGAAATTAATCTTCCCTGTATAAATATCTTTTCAGTACTCTAATTGTGCAAATCAGGATCATTTGTCCTGATAAATACAATTAAAACCAATTCTTATAGCATCTTCAAACATCATAACCTACTATGCGTCTTATAATTAATAAAATATAAATTACAGGTCAATTTTAAATTGGTTAAAAAAAAATTAAAAAACGTATGTATAGTTCGTATAGTATATAGTACTTATAGTCCAGGCCACGATATAGCAAGGTTGTAAAATCGGCCAGACGTCAAAGTAAACGTGTTTCTAGTGCCCAAACAAGCGAATTGACAGAAATACGAGCACTTGAGGACCTTAGACCACAATCAGGGCCGTACGAAGAAATGTTTTATCCAGTGTCGAATTACCCTGTAATATTCACTAATACGAGGAAAGGTACTTTTAGTGATTCCCTTAAGGTAAATATCTTACTCGATTCTTTAATATCTTAATTTACCTGCTCATAATACATGCAGGCGAAAAAAGAAAAAAGATAGTGCAGTTACGAATTCAGAAAGACATTCTAAATATTCCAGATAGTGACCAGTATTTACATATTTTGTATCTGTAAATAAAATTATATTTACTAATTGAAATATAAAATCATATATGCGCTATTAATTTATCGTTGGCACCCTCAAGCAGGGTGTCACAGACGGCCCTGAGTGTCGAAGCATCAATCAGTACTGATTCTTAAGAGTTTAATTTACGATCTCGCTATATCGTGGACTATACCCTATTCCGCGCCCTGGCCCAATGAAATACTCCCGAATCCGCCCCTGCGACAGTGAAAGCGTTAAAAGCAGATCCTTCATTTTCCATTTCACCTTCTACTTTCCTCTCTTTCTCCCTCTCTTTTTCACTTCGTTCCCTACTAATTGTAAGACTCAGCATCGCGATGACGAAAGAAAGACGAGTGACGAGAGACGCGTTTCAGAAACTCGTTTCACAAGCGCCGTCTCGTTTACGTTATCTCCTTCGAGTTCTCATTTGCAACCCCTTTGCAGTTCTCAACTTCTTTCCCACCCCGGTGCAAGAGGAGTGCCTATCGCAGGACAAGCGGCGCCGCGGCGTATGCATGAACACGTATGAGTGCCGCATTCAACGGGGGAAGTCCCATGGACGGTGCGCCCTCGGTTTTGGCGTGTGCTGCATATGTAAGTACATGAGTTACAGTCCTGTTATTCTCGATTCATTCGGCACACGAGGGAAACGTTCCGCGAATTCCTCGTTTCGAAATTTTCTGTCAGAGGGAGAAGATAAAGGATCGGCGTGCGGACGCGTTTAAACTTCCGGGGATTTACGCCCGCCACTGGCGCCCTCTAATTTGTTGATACACGGCTGCGCGCGCAGCACAACTGTCCAATTAATTCCTCTTTGTCCCCGGCCTATGCTATTCGTTACTTTTCTTCTTTTTTTTTTTTCTTTTTTCTTTGTATACAATATAAGTACAATACAATATAAATATTTGTATACGATATAAGTACAATATAAAAAAGGCGAAGTAATTTTCTTATACACGTTGATGTATAGTATATCGGTGGTGAGATGTGTCGTCGATTTTTGGACAGGATATTTTAATGGGAAATTTCTTTGAAACTTTTTACTTGGGATTCTTTGTTTGAATCGTTGCTTGAAATAATTTTGATAGTTTTTCTTAATTTAGGAGAATTTTTGGACACGATTTATTTTGTAGTATATGGAAAGATATTAGAGTAACTATTATAGGATGGTGGAAACTGGTTTTGAGACACCGAAAATTGACAAAACAACAAGAATAGAATTACACAAACTCAAAATTCATAAAACTAATTTAACTTAGGAAAAGAACATGAAGATAACGAAACGAAATCACACAAAGACGCACTTTAATTTAACTCTCTTTCCAACACCAAGCGACTCACGCTCGTGATGGTCATAATTGATTTCTAAGGACTCTGTTTTGGTCATCAAGGACCATGCTTTTATGCTTTTCTTAACCTAGGTTTCACCTCCCCATAGGGACAACGTAACTTAATTTTATTACCCAAAATAGCTTTTCCATTTGCTTCTAGAAAATATTGATCGGTTTATAATTTGTTTTGTTCGCAATGGCCGATTCGCGATTTCCTTCGAAATGGTATTCTGTATTATATATATATGAAGCTTTACAAAGCTTCTGAAAAAGTAATGAAGGAAGTAAATATCAGAGTGTGATGACCAAAGTATTTGTAGTTATGTTGGTTTTGATAGTTATTCTTCAGATTAAAAATAGTAATTTTTCTTTAAATATTTAATAACACGTTATTATTACATATCGTAATTAATTATTAAAAGAAAAGGAAAAATAAATCTAATTGTGGTTATGTTGCTACGAAAGATTACTGTCTTGATTAAAGATAATAATTTTAATAATAGGCTTTCTTTATGTACCGTAATTAATTATTAAATATTATTAATATTATATATATATATCTTTTCTTTTTTTAATAATTAATTACGGTACATAAAAAAAGCCTATTATTCGATTTATAATTATATATATGGTCGGCAGATTTTTCTCGATTAATACAAGCATGCAAAACCTGGATATTACACGTGAAAAATTGAAGCAAGTGAAATTCTAGGAAAAGGAAGAAAATTTGGTAAAAAAAAAGTAAAGAAAAAAGGAAATTGAATTCTGTAGACTACTTTAGATTCTGGCAATTTCTTCCTCAGTACGTAACATTTTTATATCATCCCTTGAAATGCACACACCGACGAAATGTGAGCGAATTTATTATTCGATTTAATAGAATAGCAGTTGAAAGTGTCTCTATGAATATTTAATAAGAAAGAAAATTATATTGGCACTGGAATGAAGCAATAGGGTGTTTGCTCTAATTTTTCAGTTTAATGTTTATTTAATGTTTCGAGTAAATATTAGAATAGACGTTTTTAAAAGAATACCACTATATAAGCAAAATTTTCTTTCTCCAAAAATCACTTTAGACTCTGAGTCTTTCCTTGAATTCAATGGTATTTTACTATAGAAAAAATGTATAATAAATATTTAATCTTTCCAATTCAATATTTATTAAATGATGAATAATATGAAATATAACAAACATTTAATTTTCTGCTCAAAGGAATTTTTCTCAAAATTTACTTTAGCTATTCAATGTCATCTGACAATTAGTAGTATTATGACAAACATCTATAATAAATATTTAACTTTTTAATTTATTATTTCCTTGATTTTCAATTAATTATTAAAAAATATATATGGATAGAATAAAGAATATTTGATTTAATTTTTAGAAAGGTTCATCTCAAAACCTACATTAAACATTGAAACTCTCGTTACGTCCAATTATAATATCATAAATAATTATAGCAAGCCTCTATAGCAGGTAAACCATGCAATTTATCTTTCAATTTCCTATCATTATTGTCCTCTCAATAGTCTATTCATTATAATTCTTCTGTCGTCTCACCTAATAATTCAGTGTAATTCAATTCTAACAATTCGATGATACTATTCATCTAAAATTTCAACCTACCGTTTGATCCGTCTGTACTAGGGAAACAATGCAAGGTTAATTACTCGTAAACAAATTGTAAATTATTAGCTGGATCATAAATTACATTTGCAGAACCATAAACCTGTACAATCGCTAAATCACTTTATTTGTCTCGAACGTTATAATTTCACCAATTTTGTTCAAGGCAAATCGATACTCGAAACAGATAGCAAACTATTAATTGCGAGGTTGATATAATCTTCTTATCTAGAGTGAGTACTATCTCACCTCACACACTATGCTAATATTTCTATAACTATCCAGCGTGAGAGATTTAATCACAAGAAATTTCAAGAAATAATTATTAGTCGTGCAAATACGAATATTCAATTTCCCAAACATGCAAACCTAATTTTTATACTTACTAAAATAATTAATATAAATATAAATTTGAATATTTATTTAACACAAGTATAGCATTCACCTAAAATATAAATATTTGTAACATCAAATGTAAATATAAATTCGCCACGCGATGTGCACTGTATTATTAACCCTTTGCACTCGAGAGGTGAGCTTCAGTCACCATTTCATAAAATTTGGAAGATCGATATTAATTAATATATCAAATTTATTGTAATGTTACAGTGTGCGAGGTATCGAAATCAAATAATTCTACAATTCTATTATTATAGAATTCTTTATTTAGTGCTGAAAATGGGTATCGTCAGTATTTTAGTAGAGAATCTTTGAATTTCTACTCTTCTCTAGCCAAAAAATCGTCGAGTGCAAAGAGTTAATATTGGTAGACTGAACTTGCGGAAAGATTTTACCACTCTCGTCGAGAACTTTCGTCACGATGTATAAACACGAAATGTAGCGTAATTTGTGATAGAAAAGAAAGAAGAAAGGACAGAGAGGGTGGTTTCAGGGGGCGAGGAGAAATTGAAAGATATAAAGTGACGCTTTAACCTTCGTTTAACGGAGGAAATATCTTTTACTCTCGTCATCTGAGATTGTGGTAGGAAAAAGGATCTGAGAAAGGAATATTGGAAATTTAATTTTTGACAAATTGTTTGCGACGAGAATGAAAGAGAGGAATAAAGTATGGTTGTATAAAAGTGGATTTTGAATGTTTGTTTCGTCGAGATGCTGAATCTTTAAGGTAGTTATAATTTAGGTAAATATTTTATTCACTGATGCCTTGAAATTTGGAGCCAATTGTTATTTAATTATTTTATGGATTAACTTATGCAGTAATTTCAATCTCGAGTAATTTATGCACTTTAATGGTTCAATTCTAGAATTGGCCAGTTTTTAAGTAATTGGTACTGGTATGTTTCAATTATAGCGAGAGTGCATGAAATATTTGTGTAATAACTTTTATACCACGTGTGGACTTAAATTTTTGATGTAATTGTAGAATTGTGTTACATGTAAAAATATGATGAAAATGAATATTGTGATGAATTAAAGCTCATAATATTTATTTGAATTTATATATTTTATTGTATAATAGAAGTAGGTACATTATTATGAAAATTTTCTGGGAACTTACAAATATTATATTAGAAATTCTAATATGGAATAAAAATTGTTATTAATAGTTTAACCATACATAGAAAATTTAATAAAAGTTAATAATTAGTTTACAGTAGTCTAAAATATTATGAATAATAATATTACAGCAGTACAAAATTCGTAATCAATATGATTTCAAATTCAATAAAAAATACAGATAATGTATATAACATTATATATTAGATATATTATATAACATAGTACACAAATGTACTATGTATATATCACACAATCTGTTACAAAATTCATAATCTACGTGACTTCAAATCCGATAGAATATGTAAATAAAATATATTATACTCTATGTATCTCATCTACACATTGTACATAATACAGATAACACTACTTTCCCCTATTACTCCTTATACATAATTAAGTATCACCACATAATCTCTTACAAAATTCATAGTCAACATGACTTCAAATTCCACAAAAATTACACATAAAATATATTACATATTATACTATACATAATTTTATCTGCACATTAAACACGATAAATAAATAAACAAATACATAACACTACTTTCCTGTATCATTTCTCCTCATACATAATTAAGTATCACCACATAATTTCTTACAATATTTGCAATCAACATAAGAATGTTGAAATCCCATAAGAAGTACCTGTAACACCCAGTATTACATATTACATCACACATACGCAATAAATAAGCAAATAACCAAGTAAACAGATAAATAAACTAATATAAACGAATATAACCAAATAAATATAGCCAACATATAGCCAAATAAATAAACGAATATAACAAACAAACATATAAAATATATATTTAATGTTCCGTTCCAGAGGCCATGTTTATAGCATAACTCTCATTTTAATTTTCGATAATTCTAAAGATTTTATTATTTTGTATTACGACTGTAATTCCGAAGGTTAGACGTGCCTCGCCGTCCTCTGAGCGGATTAAGTCATATATCTAAATACAAAAGTACGTATTCGATACCCATCACTTAAACATCTTACAAATACTGTAACATACGTGTTCGAAACGATATTGCACATTTCAGATACAATAAACAACCACGAACTAGAATAAATAGTTTACCTCGAATGACACTCGCAATCCACA